AAAAAAAAAAAGAAATCCTGTTTTGTTTTCCAGAATTGCATTCTGCTTGCTCCCACTCTCCACCCCCGCCCCACAAAGTTTAGTAAATAGACTTATTTTTGCACTTCAATACTCTTTGCAACACCACTGTTATCTCAATAACCTTAAACCCTAAAATATATTTTTTAAAGATTTTATTTATTTGGGGGGGGCAGAAGCAGGCTCCCTGCTGAGCCACCCAGGTGCTCCTGTATTTTTTTTAAAAGATTTATTTACTAGAGAGAGAGCGTGTGTGCGCGCACAAGAGCAGAGGGAAGGGCAGGGAATCTCAAGCAGACGGCTCGATCCCATGACCCTGGGATCATGATCTGAGCTGAAATCAAGAGCCGGCTGCTTAACCTACTGAGCCACCCAGGCGCCCCTAAACCCTAAAATATTTTCAATAAGATACTCTGAGACTGAACACTGAATATGTAAGATATGGCCTAAGTATAAACATTTGGAAAACTGTCAAAACACAGGATGAATTACAATTTTAATAACCTTAAATTCACTTATTCAACATTTACTAAACATCAGGCAGAAAACAGTCCCCTGTCCTCAAGCAGCTCACAAGTTAGCAGTACATATAAACACAAATAACTCTATGAGCATTCATGCAGTACGTTTGTGTATGTACACACACACACACACGGCAAAAAGCTACACTGGTTTTTTAAAAAATTGAAGGTGAGGATGGAAAACTGATAAATCCAGTAGGTGTACGTTTGATGAAATCAGGAAAACGGAGGTAAGAAGGCTTGCACAAAGGGCGCGTGAAACATTTACACAAGCTCTTCCGCAGGATGCTGGACGCAGGCCAAAGGCGGCAGGGTCCGGGCTGAGTTCAAGGAGCCAGGTGAGCCTGGATAGCGCCTGCTGCCCCGGGGCGCTGTGCTAATCAGACGGCAGGGACACAGGGAAGGACGCAGTAGGATAAGAAGCCAGCCCTGGCTTTGGGAAGATGGGAGAATCCCTTTTAGGCAAGCAGTATTGTATTTTTTTAAAGATTTTATTTGTCAGAGAGTGAGAGCAAGCAGTATTTTAAAAGCTAGAGATGTGGGACCAGCTAACCCAGCCCATTAACCTGCTCACTTCACCTGGGCCTCACAAAACTGCCAGTGGCTTACTATTCCAGACTTTTCCAAGAATCACTGCAGTCACCCTAAATACTACCTGATCTGACGTAGTCAGTTCTACGGGACATAAGTGTGCTTCAGCTTGTCAGTGAGTAGTTCACTGAAGACACGCCAGAGCGGCTAGTGCAGCGTGACGGGGGCCCTCTAGGTAGATTCCAATTTACTGGCTCCAACAGTTACAACGTTAGAAGAGTGGGAGTCTATGGTGTGCCAGCAACTTGAGTGACAAGGGTGAAGGAGACAAACCAGAGAGCACACGTGCATGTCATAGAACGATCCATCCTGTTAGCAGCCCGCCGAATAAAAAAAACCCCAATGCCAGGAAATCCTGAGCTAGAAGTCCTAGGATACCTCTGACGCTACAGTTTACAGGGGACTATCCTCTACTTGAACAAGCTGTGTTACACAAAAACATTTTCTAGAACATGTTAAAAATAACGGAGAGAAGACTCATCTGACGCCTTAGGCTTGGTGTAGGACCTCTTCCAAATTATCTCTTTGTCTGTTGTCTGTAACTGCACAAATACTTCAAATCTTTATTTTATAAAGTTTAAACCGACCATAAAAACACCTCATAAATCCTGACTGCTTTATAAAAGTTTAATAAGAATTCTAAAACATTACAGGGAAGTCTAAACATGCTCAAGGTCATGCTGCTCCCGCAGGAAGAGATGAACAAGGCAGCAGGCCACAGCAGTCCCCCTCCCCCAATGATCCTCCCTGCTCACTGACTGCTGCTTTGGA